GGAATGCCCCTGCCACCGGCAGCTGGTGCTGAGTTGCACCTGTGTCTGGGCTCGGCCCTCCCCCGCCCTGAGGTGGCCCTGGAAGGGACCCCCAGCACTGTAACATGAACAAAGTCACGTGGACACACACCTCTTCTTCTCCTCCTCTCCAGCATCCCCTCTGGAGCGGCAGCAGAAACAGGTCAACAGAGGAACATGTCAAAGTCATGCAAGATATGTGAATGGAAAAAGAGAACAAGCGAAAGAAGGAGGGTTATTACAGGCAGAAACGGAGAAGGACAGAGAGAGACAGGTACTCGAGATAAATCCGTTTCCTAGGAGTTTGAGCGCTAAGCAACAAGAGGAACCCGTTCACCTATGAGCATCTAAGCATTTCTCTCAGTTTCGTCTCCTGGCAGAGCATAGAGTCCTCTCTCTAGAGTCCTCGGGAAGAGTGTCAGTGTCCCCTCCCACCAGGTGCTCCCTCTGCCTCCCCAGGAAGCAGACACAGTTGACTGCTGCAGGGTACAGGCAGGCCATCTTGCCCCATTAGGGTTTAGCTGTCCCCCGACAGAAAGATTCCACCTAAGATTCGCCCACGTGCTAGTGGACTGAAGTCTTATACAGCAGGATCTGTTCTCTGTCCTGCCAGGGACAAAGGTTAAGGGGTCTCCCCAGTGTTAGAGAAGAGGGGATTTGTTTCGTTAATGAGGAGAGATTCAGAGGCTTCAGAGTCCCAGGACTGGTGGGGCCAACGGGGGTGGGGGGGCGCCCAGGACTGGAAGGGCTGCTGTCCCCATCCTGCCCAGTGCCGAGTGCAGCGGACAGCAACCTTCGCCTGCTGTGGCCAGAGAGAGAACTGAGCACCAGCCCACAGCATCAGCGCCAGCCACTCACTGCCGCCACGTGCTCTGTGAAACGGTTTACCAAAGAGGTCTTCGGAAGGGGCAAGTTCACCCTCAGCGAAGCTGCAGAGCTAAGTTCAGGCTGCAGCCAGAGGAGTAAGTTGAAAGCAGCAACTGCATTTCTCTGATGTTAGAGCGAAGTATAGGGGTGACGGCCAACCCCGCACCCCAGGATCCTGTGCCAGTGGTTCGTGCTCGGGATTCTGACTCCATACAGCCAATAGGCAGAGTGGCTCTGAGGGGGTCCTGACGGTTTCATTCAGTGGGAGTCTGCATTCTTAGGAGGGTCAGACCAAATCATGCCAGAGCCCCAGAACAGAAAGCGCTCATGCAAGCCGAGTATCCCCGCCCGCCCATGAAGCTGTGCACCCCAGACCCTTCAGGCAGCTTGCAGGGCACCGGGGCCACACGGGGTCGAAGGAGAAACACAGACGCCTGGACTCAGCCATTCTTCTGCGCTCCTCTTCAGAAACGGGAAAAGAAAGTGCTCCCAGGTCCTCTTCCCCGAGGAAAGCGGGCCCAGACTTTGCCCCTACCTGGTTGTGGGGGACCGCTTTCTCCTCTCACAGTGGACGGCATCGAAAAAGGCTGCGTTCCAGAACCTCAGCGTATGCCTGCGAGACAGAGACACGCATCAGTTCTCTCCAAGCAAGACTGGGAAGGCAGCTCCTGGCCCACTCGAAGGATGAGGAAGCGGAGTTTCCTGCCACCTCTGGATGAGCTTCTGAAAGTCTCGGGGAGGTAGCGCTGGGAAGAGAAAATGCGATAAATGTGCCTTTATCCTAAATCAGGTGTCTCCCTGGGCCAAGCATCGTGAACATATCTGAACATTCCTCCCAAGGTGAGATGCAGGAAGGTGAGGTGGAGCAGGTAGCCCTGGATTCGTCAGGTCAAAGCCGAAGCCGCCAAGGGCAGGGTGTAGACGGAGGCCGTTTCCCACGTCTCTGTTTCCCATTGAGGCTCCTGAGAGAAAGCAGGGGGTTCGGGGAGACATGCTTTTCTAGAATAGGTGCTAGTAACATAAATGGGAGCGTGGCAGGGACAGGCCATGTGCGGAGAGCAAACGTTTACAGGGACGCACAGTAAGAAACACGTGAAGAAGATCAGGGGTCAGCAAACTACCAATTTGGTGGGTGGGCCGAACCCAGCAGCTGCCTGTTTGTGTCCACCGAGGTTTATGGGCACACAGCCCTGCCCATTCACTTACATACTGTCTGATAGCAGAGTCGAACGGTTGCCTGCAAAACCTACAATATCCATCACCCAGCCCTTAAGGGCTGTTGCCCTGTTGCAGAGGATAGGACAGCCCCCAAGTCGAGGCCCAGAGGGGCTGAGCGAAAACCACGGAACAGGTGTGACCAGGGCTGGTCAGCTCTCCTCTTCCCTCTTTCCTCTTGAACCTGTCCCAGCTCGGGTGGGGCCTCGCAACAGAGGCATCTGAACGCTCCAGTCCAGCCCCTTCTGGCCACATTCCTCACAGGGGCCTTGTTTTGTCGTGGCCAAGTCCGCCCGGGGCTAGACCATGATCTGCAGAGAGGGGCAGTCTGACACCCTTTGGGTTCCAGGTGCTGGTACACTGCCGACCGTGAGTGAAAAAAATATGGTGATGGAGAGGCTTTGGAGGGCTTAAAGCAGCACATGCGGCCAGCCACAGAGCAAGGCAGAGGGCGAGACTTTCCCTGACCACTGGCCTCTCACTTCAACCACGACCTTCATACATATAATATGCTTTATTGGGATATAATTCGTATAACCGTAAAATTCACTCTTTTAAAGTATGCAATTCAGTGGTTTTTAGTATATTCGCAGAGTTGTGCAACCATTACCACTATTTCCAAAACATTCTCATCACCCCAGAGAGACACCCCATACCCACTGGCAGTCACCCCTCATTCCCCATCGCCCCCAGCCCCTGGCAACCGCTAATCGACTTTGTCTCCAGGGATTCGCCTGTCCTGAACGTTTCATATACATGGAGTCGGGCCCTGTGTGGTGGTCTTTGGTCTGGCTTCTTTCACTGAGCAGAACGTGTTCCAGGTTCGCCCGCGCTGGAACAGGTCTCAGCATCTCATTCCTGTGTACGACAGATGCTATTCCATGGCCTGGATCTATCGCATTTTGTGTGTCCATACGTCCAACGTCCATGTAGATAGATATTGGAGTTGTTTCTACCTTTGGCTGTGATGAATAATGCTATCATGAACATACGTGCACAAGTTTTTGCTCGAGTACCTATTTTCAATTGTTCTGAGTACATTCATAGGAGCAGAATTGCTGGGTCATATGTAACTCTCTGTTTAACCTTCTGAGGAACGGCCAGACTGTTTTCCAAAGTGGCTGCCCCCTCCGACAACCCCACCAGCAGTGTATGAGGGTTCCGATTTCTCCACGTCCACACCAACCCTTGCTATCGTTCGTCTGTTTTATTTTGGCTATCCTGACGGGCATGAGTGACCTTTGTCTCCGATGCAGACGACGGTGCAGCGACTGCTGCCTCACAGGTAGGAGGAGGGCCTTACCAGATGGGCTGCTGCTTCAGGTGCGTGTACAGGTAGATCTTCTCCCCCTTCCTCTCCTCCTCTGGGCTGCACACGGTCACTGTGGGAGGGTGGGAGAGGCTGAGCGTGGCTCTGGTTACACCCACATGTGGGCAAACCCCATGACAACACTCCTGATAGTCACTGCTTCTCCCCAGAGACCATGGAAATATCTTCACAGCTGAAATTGCATGACAGCTCATCTCCTGCCCACAACGACGCCCTTCACACCTGGCGATGAGGACCTCTTCTAAGTGGGGGGGGGTGGGGGTGTTCCCTGGGAGGCTCCCACACCCCCACCATACTTTACTTGCCTTCTCTGGGATAAGGAGCTTGGTCCTGCACCCTCCCCCTAGAGAAGGAAGCTCAGTAGAGAACAGACTGGGGCTGAGAGCAACTGGGGAGTCGCCAGCAGCAGCGCCTTGCTCCACAGAAGCTGTGGGGCCCCAGGATGGTTAGGGACCTGACCTGCTCGCTGCTGCTGCTGCTGCTGCTAGTTAAGGTGGGCTGGTTTAAGACCCCTGCAGGGACCTGGGTCACCAGGGCTGGAGAGCTGGGAGGCACTCACCGGTCTTCTGCGGCTTGTCCTTGGGCTTGCTCTCGTCCTCCCTGGGGGAGAGAAACCACAGCAGTGACGATGTGACCCCCATACTCTTTCAGAGAAACCATGTGACACCGCTGAAACGGGATTCGGTCTCATAAACAACGTGTACATTTAATGTGGTTTTCTCTAAAAAATTTCTGTTACATCGCTACATTTGTCAGTTGCTGGTCTTTTAAAACTTAGGCTTCTTTGTGCCATTTTCTCTACTTCCGAACTATGCGGACCAGAAAAAGAACCAAGCCAAGTCAGCTGGTTGTAACCAAGCCATCGGAGGTGACCCCAGGGTGGCTGGCACTGGCACTGGGCCCAGGGCTCTTCTGCTGACACGTCCCCTCTCTTTGTAGACGCTTTAGCTTCCACACGCCTGCTATAAGGTTCCCAAGTTTCGGTGGGGGATCTGCTATCCTGGGGACGGTGGTTTCTCCCGAGTCTACTTTGCGCCTTCGGTACAAACTCTTGCCACAGTTAGACGAGGAAGGAGAAGGGAGGGTTTGTAATTTCCCTCCTGTCAACTGACAATTTCCATATGCTCCTCATCTGTCCTAGAAAACATGGACCCACAGGGGACATCCCTGCACCTCCGCAAACAGAATGGCGTTTGGAAACTCTAGAAAACTCTGGGGGGCGTGGAGTTAAGCTGCGCTGGCGGCTGTGCTTTCTGGGAACGGCTCTTGGGCCCCAAAGATCGCCAGGGTGAACAAATTCTTCTGTTACCAGGCAAAGGCCTCCTCGTCATTCCAGGCTTAATGTGGCCTCCGCCATTTGTCGTCATACCTGTGCGCCTGGCCCTCCCCAGTCAGACAGGAATGCACACCAGACAACACTTACTCATTTTTCTTGACCATGGGTCCCTTCAGCTTGGTCTCCAGCCCCCCAAAGAAACCCTTGACATTCTCCGTCTTGGCCGATGTATTCTTCAGCAGCCGCTCGGCAATGTCCTTCTTCTCCGCTAACCAGCTGTTGGCAGACTTCAAATAGGAGTCGATGCTCCCTGCTGGCTTCTCCTTGGATTCTGAGGGGAGCAGGTGTGGTTTACCTACAGACAGAGAAGGAGAGAGAGCTGGAATAAGAGCCATACTGTGTAGTAGCAACAACGGAGGGCAGAAAGGAACTCCTGTTAGCTGCTGGAGCTGCTGGGGTCATGGGAAGATCTCCTTTTGCAATAGCTGGACATGGCAGTGAGAAGCAAAAGGCTCAGAGATGCCCAGGAGAAGACAGGGGCCTGGTCACCGTCTCTCTCTAGGCAGTCACTAAGCACCGATTGTGCACAAGAAGTCAGCCAGGTGCCACGGGGGGCTAACGAAGAAACAGGCAAGGATCCAGCCCCAAAGAAGCGCATAGTCCAGAAGAGAGGTGAGCAATGAACATATACACAGTGCAAGAGCATAAGACAGAAAGCAATAACGCAGTGGTGGGGCCAAGGGCTAGGGGACAATGAGCTGTGGGAGGCGTGCGGATTCCAGACAGGCTTGATGGCACCTGGACGGGACCTGAAATGGAGGGTGTTGGACACGGGAGGTGGCAGGAAGAGGGTGCTCTGAGAGTGGGGGAGTATGAGTGGAGGCGGAACAAGGGGTGAACCTTTCTAAGGGCGGTGTACAGACTTTCATGCCAAGACACCCCTACAGGCCAAGGAGCCCTCTCTAGGTCAAATCATCCCCTTATTGGTCAAGGCACCTCCTACAGATCAAAGGTGCCCTCCTCAGGTGAGATGCCCCTACAGGTGAAAGGGCTCTCTGTAGGTGAAGGTGCTGAGTGTCTCCTACTAATTTAAGCTGCTCTGCACACACATCTGACGCGGACAAGCAGCATCGAGCTGTTCTTTGAGAAGGCAGAGCCGCGGGTTGGACAAGGGGTTCCCAGCTGACCCAAAGGCAGCCAGTGAGTGGCCCGGCATCGAGGACCTGCCCAGTGGTGGCCTGGCCAAGCTAAGGCAGTCAAACCAGCTAATGCCAAGAGAACTGAGGAGTGTGAAGACGGTGGGCTGCTGGGAGTGAGGGGAGGCCAAAGCTGAGTTGCAGGGCCTGGGACACACTGTAAGAGCAAACCTGTGGGTCACAGAAAGGGTGGACAGGGAGGCCAGTGCGGGCCCCGCCCCGACCCAGCTCAAGGCCGTGTGCAGGCCCCCGGCAGCCTTCTCCTCATGGCGGCCTGAAAGGGACGGCTGTAGCATCTTAACACAGGGAGCCCTCAAGCTCCAATGTACCAGAAAGTTCCACTGGAATGAGCCAGAAGAGCTGTCAGAGCCTCGGCGTAGAGAACAGTCTGCACTCCTCGCGAAGGCCTCTCCGGCCCATACCCGGGAACGCGTTCCCGCCTGAGATCTCACTGCTCCTCGCACCTCCCTTCAGCGCCAGCCCTGTGTCATGTTCTGCAAAAACCTGAAACTGATGTCCTCACATCTAGCAACTCCCGTCTATGAAACGTCCCGCTGGATGCGTTTATCGTCTTACGTTCCAACAGCTGGCGGTTTCCTTCGTACCGTGTCTTCCCCTGTGTCAGGGATCTCACTCCTTGCTCATTCCCTCCCTAACACCAGTTTCCATTGTTTCCTGGAAGCCTCACAACTTTGCCTTTAATTGGGAAGAAATCCTGATTTGATGCCATGTCAGAAGTTGACAAGTCTTGAGTTTTCAAGTTTGCCTTCCACGGCGACACCCACCCCCTACCACCACCACTGCCCCGTGTCTTACCGATGTGGTAGTAAGTGAAGCACATGGTCATGAGGTTCTTGGCAGGCCCAAAGTCATCCATCTGATGACACCTGAAATAAGAAGCAAGGTCGATTGGCAATTTTCTCACTGCAAGTTCATGAAACGAGACCAAAATACTTTGTGAACATGTCTAAATTAATACCTCACTCCCCAGATGCTATGTAGGAGAAGCAACAAAAGTGATCTCCCTTGTTTCAATTAGTTGAGTGACCCACAAGCACACGGCAAGGACTGGGTCTCATTCTGGGCAGGAAGGAGTTCACGTCCGTCAGTGTGGCCTCCTTCGCTTTTAAGGTAGAACAGCCCAGGCCTCAGATGCTCAACCCTAGGCACAGGAATGTCTGAGGTCGAAGCCAGTGGCCCTCTTGCCCCTGCTTCTCAGGAATTAATGAGTTAGAGGCTACACTCCAGTCAGTGGTGCTTGGACTTGAACAGCATCAGAATCACCTTGAGGGCACGGTAAGAGGTGGATTGCTGGGCCCTCCGCAGGGTCTGTGGTTTAGTAGGCCTGGGGTAGTGCCTGAGAATGTGCATTTCTAACAAACTCCCTTGTGAAGCTGATGCTCGGATGCTCCTGGCCCAGGGGTGGAATATGTATACCTATCTACCCTATGTCACTTGCTGAAAATCAAAGTATTGCATACCAGAACCTTTAATACACTAAAAAATGTTCTAGAAATGTAAAGAATTATACTGCCTATGTTACAACATACTTTCTATATTAAGATTATGAGACACACATAGATCCATTCAACTTAGCTAACAAAAAGAGAGGGGAAAACTTCAAAAAGAGGGCCTGTCTGCCACCAGGAATTTGTACTGTTATAGTCACAAACGCTATGATGCTATCTACTGCAGCACAACGAATGAGAAGAAAATGGAGAGCAATAACCTGAATGCCATCAAAAGGGCGTGAGTTAAATAAATTATGGTACACGGATATGTCAGAATACTATATATACAGCCATTACACATGCAGAACTATATGTAAATGGAATTTTTTTTGAAAAAATATGTATTTGCTGATATGTGTGCATCATTAACAGTGGTTTTCATTGGGAGACGGATCCAAAGTGAGAGAAAAGGGTGTGCGAAAAAGGCTTCCCTCTTCACGTCAGGCTTCTGTACTTTTGTGTCCTGTTTCCTTTTGCATTTTTCTTTTCTATTTAGTTTTTAACTTTGGACAAACATTACTTAAAGATGGAAGTCAACAGAAATGATCTAGATAGTAGATTAGGGCCATTTTTGTCTATCTTTTAAAATAAAGCTGATCTAATAAATTTAAAGAACTAAACTATTAATAAAACCATAAAAGACTAAATAAAAGTAAAAGCTAAAAATACTAATCAACTAAAAATGATAAAACTCATGTTTTAAAAATTAATGACTTTCAAAATATTACAAAGTTTTCTGTTTTTGCGAGTAATCGAAAATATATATGCTCACAGACAAAGTAATGGGAAGATTTTGTGGTTTGGCGGGGTTGAAACTTGAATTTAATTTTTCTCCCAATTTTATTTACTTAAGGAAAAATTCAAAGAAAAATTGAGAATTAGATAAGTTATATTACCATGGGGGACAAGCGCGATCTATGCAAATGAAAATTCCTACAGATGTGACTGTGCAGAAGCTGAAGTATCTTCAGTGCCCGAGAGCATCTTGCGTATAAGACAACCTGGGGGCCGCTTTACGTGGGCTCCTGACGTGCTCCCAGCCAGGGGCGGGGGCACACTCAGACTCCCCCCAGCGTGAGTGTATCCTGAACTTGGGATAATCCGAGCAAGTGCAGGACACACACCGATTTTCTGTTCTTTTGGTCACTTTCCTCCAGTATATGCCCCAGGTTCGTGGCAGGATCGAGAAAGGTGAGGAGACACCGAGACACAGGGGAATTAAAACTGAAGAGAAGAGCTACATTTCCGTTGGGATGAGAAAGGGAAGGACGAAATGGACATAGGGATGGGGGGGCATGTCCATGGCATAAGCCATGGGACAAGGACCTGCTTTGAGGCTACACTGAGGAGATGGGGCACGGGAGCTCAGGGATGGTCGGATCGGGGCTTCCCTCCACGCCTCCTTTTCTAACCCACGATCTGCCCCCTCTGCCTGGATCGTTAAAGCCACTGCTTGGTTCCCCGCAAGCAGAGATGTGTCCCCTAGATTCGTATTTGGAGGACATGTCACCCACTCTCATGGAAGCTCAAGACGTCTGAAGCAGGTCTGGCAGTCCTACAGCCACGGGGCCTCTGATGGAGAGCCCCGTGAGTCCCATGGCCTGCCTCCCACGGCCACTTGGGGCAGAGGGGCCCCATCCACTACCCTACTTTATCTGTGAATGCCTGTGTGATGAAATGCCTTGGCTCCAGCAGTGCCAAGGTTGTACTCAGGGCAGGCTATGCCATCCAATCATATCATTAAGTGGGAGGTTACTTAGTCTGAAATACTTCACAACAGAAAATCAAGAAAACTCCAGATCTCTGCTGGAGGAGGGTAAGGCCAACCGTGTATAATCACAGCCTGTCCCGGGAACCTGAGTGGAAGAATTTACTCACACCCAGCTGTGCTCCTCTAATCGCTATGCCCGGTGAGGACCGCTTGCTAACTCCCTTCCGTGAGATGCTGGTCACGACTTCTCCCTTTAGCTGCTACTGGGTGTATCACAGCAACTGTGAGCTGATGACTCGTGCTGGCTGTTACTCACAACCAGGTTATCGTGGGGCAGGGGAGGGACGGAAGACAAGCTCCATAGGACAAAAGCTTTGAGCAACAGCATTACTTACTCGAACAGGACCACTGCAAAAGACTGCACCAGGCGGTAGAAGGTCGGCTCTGAGACACACTTGGAATTGCAGCGCTGACCAGGAAGAGAGCAGACACGTCACCGGGGCAACCAGGTGGCAGAGACACACTGCATCTCAGAGAGGCTGTGGGCTTACCACGCCGAGCATCTCCCAACAGCTGGGATGCAAGCTCAGGACCGTAACAGCCTCGCCTGCTCTGCAGAAACCAGGACCCCGGCAGGGTGCTGGCACCCGGCACACAACCCGCACTTGGCAGAGCACAGGCAGACATTTTCCTGTGTCTCCTTGTGAGATTTTTAAAAACCAGGAACTTCTCACTCTCACCCACACACGGAACTGTATGGAGGGACAAAACCCCAAGATGACAACACTGGCTATTTCTGGATTGTAGATTTATGAGTAGTTTTTCTATTTTTGCTATCTGCATTTTCTAATTTTTCTTTGAAGAATAAATTGTGACAAAAATACTTTAAAAACTAGGAATTTAAGCCACTTTATAGAAAAAAAAAATCAACTGGATATTTATAAAATAATTCTTTTCTGAACTTACATGGCTGTCGTCTTCCATATATTATCTTTACAAAAACTGAATATTGTGGGTTATTTAATAAAAATATGCATGGACATAATAGCCCACAGGCTCGCCTTTACAAAAAACTAACTTTTCTGGAATTTCATGTGATCGACAGGCCAGTTTGCTCACTCATTCCTTTCCAGTGGGGCATCCAAATAAACTCCTTCCTACTTCCCACTATTCTAAGTAGGCCTTTTCAGAACATCTTTAGGTAAGTGTTATTTTTTTCTGTCGGGTCATTGCCCTTGACTTTTTCTCCAGAGTGGAGGAATTAAAGAGAGAGAGAGGATGCAACTTATCACGAGCCCGTCCCCGTTACCTGGGCAAGCCTACCCACCCTTACCCGGGTACTCCCCCATCACCTCCCTTTACCTGGGCACTTCTCCCAGCACCTGCCCTTACCTGGGCGCTCACATATCGAGCAAACCACTCCCGGCCTTTGCCACTCTCGCTGCTGCAGTACTCGCCAAACTTGGCTTTCTCCTCCTGGTCCAAGTCCTCCCTGAACAAAAGAGCAAGGGGGGAAAACGACAACCTTCAATCTTCTGCGACAAAAGAGGTTACAGTAGGGGGAAGAGGAAAGAGGGGAACTAATAGGAATTGTACCCCAGCCAAGTACAGAGCCTGACTTACATCGGCTCATCTCTCCCTCTCGGCAACGCCGTGAAGAAACAGTATTACTTCTATTTCATAGATAAGGAGACAAGCTCAGAGGATCGGATACAGCTGGGGAGCTGCAAATGGGGACTCAGTCCAGACTTCCTGGCTCCAGAGCCTACGCTCCTTCCCCTTTGTCCTCCAGCCTCCGGTGAAGTCCCAGAACTAGTAAGAGTGACAAAACCCAACCCTCCAAACCTCTGGGGGCTTGGTTCTCCAGGTCATCCAACTCCCACTAATCTTCGGTTGCTGCAGGCAGCGTGGATCTTCCCACTGAATTCAAGTCAGCTGGACACACAGCTCTGATGGCACCTCCCACTAATCAGGAAGGCATGGTTGCTTATTCCTCTGAGTTTGTGAAAATCCAGTCTGCTCTCCTAATCTCGCTGTGTGTGTGAGGGGTGGAGAAGGGGGACCCCAGAAGGTCACCACCTCCAGGGTGGACAAAGTGCTCACTGATCTCAAACCGCTTCTGATCGCTCTTCGCGGGGGCACTACTCTACTCCAAATTCAATGTTGACAAAAATGGAGCAAGGGGCTTAAGGCTGATTGGCTCATGCAATATTTCATTTATTTAATGTTCTGTAGAAAACATGTTGGTCTCATTTATCCGCAAATACCAACACCAGATGAAATTTGAGAATTTGACAGCCGTTCGCAGTGATTTTTGGAATGTTCTTGAAAATGTATTCGATTCAGCTGTCCGTGTTCCAGACCGCCAACAGTCTGCTGCAAACACAGACCTGCCTTCCTGGCAAATTAGCAAGCTTCTGGGCTTTGTCCCCTTTTCATTAACTGCGTGTGCTCAAAGAAAGCTGACTAATTTCAGTGTTAGTCAAACAAAATAAGTAGGAAGCTCCATCTACTGTTCTCCCAGAATGCCTTCAACATCAAACATAAACGTACTTTTTGGACAAAGATTTGGCTTATCATTGAACTTATCCCTTTTTTAACTTCATAGAAAATCAAAGCACACCTGAAAAAGGCAGGCACCAGCCTTGCCAGTTCACAAACGAGGGACCTAAATCATGATAAAAAATAATGTACTTTGCAAAGTGTCAACAGTCAGAAATTCTTATTGCTTTAAGGAAATTATAACATTTCTCCTTCATCCAGAGTGTCTCGGATCATGTGTGCAAAGAGTCTAGAGGCCTTATTAAAAGAAAAACTTGGACTCACTGGGGCGGGATGGGGTCCAAGACTGTATTTCTAACAAGCACCCTGTAATGCTGATGCGCCGGGCCCACAGACGACAGTCTCAGTAGCAAGACCTTCAGCCTGAACGTGCTGCTGTGAATGACGCAAGGCCACCAGTAGACAGCTACACCCACGAATCAGGGTTTGTTTCCCCCGCCCTTGCCTCTGTTGAGATATTAACACATGAGGATAGAAGAGCTAGAAGCCTGTCCACAGATTCCCTGCTTCTCTATCTACAATCTAACTCCCACTTCTGCTTCCTGCTGCTCCAATTGTTCATGCTCCTTACCTACCCCTTCAAGGGCTGTGAAAGAAAGACAGGAAGAGGTGAGAGGAAGGGTCCCCATCCTGGCAGCTGCTTAAGGCTCGTCTTCCCTTGAGAATCACGAGGGGCATGGGTCACTGAAACCTTGTCTCATATTGCACCTAAATTTAATGTCAGCTAGTAATTGCGGCCCCCTAGAGAAGTATGACCCTGACATCGAATGCCAGCGAGGAGCTAACCTGAGAGTGCTCAGACACTGGGCAAGCAAAACTAGTGTCCTCTTGGATTCAGCCACGGTGTGGGCAGGGTGTCAGTGGAGTGGTCGATGCACTGGGTGGGGGGGAAGAAGGGGTGAAATTCCCCAGGTGGTCCTATCTGCAGCCCAGGATGGAGTCGCGAGCCACCAGGGAGGCCCATCGCTGGCTGGTGAGGGACTGGAGGCCCTGGCCATGGAACAGCCTGCTCAGGGATAGAGCTGAGAGCAGGGCCCAGGGGCTTACCCCCCGGAGAAGATCTTCTCCACGTAGCTGCGCATGAACTCCCTGAGCTCCAGGGCCTCCTCGTCCTTGGCCGACTCGGTGCTCTGGTTGGAGGAGAAGGACTCGTTGGAGGAGGAGCGGCGGTACTGGTTCCAGGACGGGTGTGAGGGTGACTCGCCCATGTCGTTCTCGCTGTCTGCTGACTCCGTGGTCTCACTCTCTGAAGCACCGTCACCCTGGGAGCTGTCCCCATCCTGCAGCTTTGGTGGCAGCGTCTCCAGAGGCGAGGAGGCAGATGGCTCAGTCCCAAAGTCAATCAGCGAGCCCACGGGGACCTCCGGGGCCTCCATGGCTTGGGCGGGCTGCCGAGGAGGACGCCAGGTGGGGAGGCTGGTGGACTGGGCTCCCAGGAGCGTCAGTGGGAGCCCACCCAGCACATGTGAGTTGCTTGGCAGCTGCTGGCCACCAGGAGTGTATCCTCTGAGGCAGCTCACGTGGCCCTAAGGCATCTAGGACAGAAGCCCATAAACAGATCAGCAGGAGAGCAGCTCCTTGTATAAGGGGAATTCAGCACCAAGAATCCAGACTTAAAAGAATGAATTAGGTCTCCAAAACCTCCAGAATTTGGGACATCTCTACACTGCCATCATTCTCCTCCTCTGCTTTACTGTTAAAACACCTGGTATGTACCTGGTGGGCACTCAATAAATATTTGTTGAGTAATGGAACAAATAAACACCAACAATCAGGATTTCTCCAAACTAAGCAAATAGACTTCAAGAGGGTGGCATCTGCCAGCCGTCTCCCCACTCTGGCCTACCAGACTGAGGCCAGTAAGTAAAAAGGCCGACCACAGGCTGGAATCGGAAAATCGCTAGAGACGCACCTGCCACATGCTGTCGGGATCAACAGCTTTGGAAGTTGAGTGTCAGGAGGAGTTTCAGGAAAAGCGGCTTCTGCTAAGCTCACCTCCTGGGATCACATCTCTTCCTTCTTAGGCTCCTTCTTTTTAACATTTTTCCACTCAAGACCCAGACCCTTCCCAGGCTTCAGACATATGTTCTTTCTCACCGTGCCTCCCAAACCCTCTGAAGGTTTCTAAGCAGCACTGGCGGCCTGGACCCAGCCTCTCCCTCCGGCCCGCTTCCCGACAGCTATCCTGGATGACAGGGTTCCGGTGTCTGTTCCTTCTGCTCCTTAGGCTGGGCGGTGCTATCTGTGCTCATCCCCACCTGGGATTCTCTCCATCCCTCAAGGCTTGGCTTACTGAGTACCAGGTCTGAGAAGCTTCCCTCCACTCCTATTCAAAACAATTTACTGAGTCCTCCGTGGCCCCTGGCATTTATTTACACTCACTTATAATTCTGCTTGTTTGAAGGGTAGATATTAGTATTGCTGTTTATCCCACCAAAGTATAACCCCTAGAGGCTGGGCCAGGCCTTAGCCACCTTTGGAGCAACCTGGGTGCCCAGCGCACAGTCTTGACTAAATAGGTGTGCGCTGTACGTTTGCTGAATGATGAACAGACCTGACTGTGAACGCGCCCTAAGAGTCGGGAAGCTGGCAATGCAGGCTACACAGTGGCGGAGCTGGGAACAGAACCTTCATTTCTAAACCAGGTCTCCTGTCGGCCAGTTCAGGAGTCACCTGCCGGTTCTCCTTCCCAGGGACGAGTGGCAGACAGTGAAGCAGGAAGGAGAAGCCCTCTGGACGCCTCAGCTCCTCCAGGCTGGAGCACATCTGGAGCCTGAGCCATGTCCCTCTCTTCCCCTGTTATAGACCCAAATATCTAGGACAACACCTGGCACATTGTGGCCGCCGATATTGATGAACTTATGCATCTTCCAAGGGTAATTCAATATCAAATCTGCATCTAGTGACTGTTAAGAGGTTAATGTTCACTAATTGATGATGGGTTCCTCCAAATTCTCCTGCCCAGGGTATTTTGAAGTGCCCGGAGTCAGAAATATGGAATGGCTGGCTCCTTGTCAATGGAGTGGCAACGGCACACCTTCAGTGGAGTCCTACAAAGCTTGCCTTAGTCCAAAAAAGCATAAACTTGGCACAAAAGAACTTTCCAGGCCAGGAGAACATCATGGGCTCAGCTGTACACTGGCACTCAGAGGGCTTGAATTTAAGGAGTGGCGGGCTGGCCTGGGGCAGCCTTGGCTCCCCACTCGCCAGCTGAGTCAGTGAGCAGTGGCTTCTGCTCTCTGGGCCGGGGTCACTCTGTCTGAGACATCAAGGTCAGGTTAGATCTCTAAGGTCCTTCTGGCAATCATGTTTTCAGACTCCCCAAAGAACAGAATGTCACACCTATAATAACATATCTGATAGTAAAATGGAAAATTACATACTAGTGACCTGCAGTCACTAGGATAGGAAAATGGAGTCAATCAATTTATAGTATAAATTCACCTAAATCTAACTTAAAAATCTATATTCTAATAGATATGCCATGCCAACTACTCAGATAGGTAAGGCGCACACCATTATTTAATGCTTAGACAATTCTTCAACCCATACTAATAACCACACATAGAGATAGGCAAATTAAAAACAATTAGGTACCATCTTATACCACTAAATTAGCAAAACTTTAAAAATTATAATCCAAATGCTGATGAGGTTATGGTACAACTAATATTCTCAAACACTCTTGATAATAGAGATAAATAAGACATTAGAAAGCAATTTCTGTAATTCTTATTTTTCTCTCCTCTGATCCAGGAATTCAAATGCTTGGAATTTATCCTAAGAAAATAATTCAAAACGCTCAAAAACAGTCATGTGGAGAAAAATGCTTATTGCAGTTGTACTTCTAATCCTGATAAATTGGAAGAATGTCTAAATATAGTAAAATGGCAAATAAATTCTAACAATTTGATGCAATAATAATCAGTGTATATGTAATTAGAAAACAGTTAGAACATCAGTGAATGATGTTCACTTACAGTTAAGTAAACAAAGTATTCTACAGCCAACAAATAATTACTAACCCTACTGCATGCCATCTCCTGTTCTGGGTGCTGGGAATACCAAAGCGAATGAATTTTAATTTTATTATAATTACAATTATGTATACATATTGAAAAAGGACTACAAGATAGACGTGTATTATAGGGCTAGCACTGAGGTAATTTCCCCTTTTAAATTTTGTTCTTTACCATAACAATGCAGTTTGTAATAAATAAAAATTCAGAGGGAAAAGGAAACAAGCATCTTGAAACATTTCAAGTGTTTGGAAGGGCTGCATCTATTTACCAAAGCAGAACCCCCATGGCACAGGAGGTTCAAGATCAGACCGAATTATCATGGCTATTTCTGGTTTAGCCTGAGGCTGGAAATTCTGAGAGGACATGAGTCATCCTTTCCCAGAATCCTCTGCCCTAGGCTCAGGAAGGAGGGGACAATGTGACAGGGAGAAGCACAAAGCAAAGGCCCAGTCCTGGGCTGTGCGTGCAGTGTGGGCCGCAGTGTGCAGGCCCAGGGGACCTGCGTACTATCATCTCCTGCCACTGCCCATGTCCCACACCCAACCCTTGGGGCTGCCTCAGCCCAGGGATCTTGTCTCTCTCAGGAGAGAAGGCCGGGGCGCCAAGCCTATTCATGGAACAAACAGCAGGGTGAAGAAGCCGTTTGTGCTGGGGGCCTGGGAGAAACATAACTACAGGCCTCTGTGCAGGACAGGGCGAGCATGCCAGGATCACACACCTCACGTGGCTACCTGTGTTGGGCCAGCCAGAGGACACAGATGAAGTGGGCCCAGCAGGGACTGAATTCACTGTCCCTGTTCAGGACCAGCCAGGTGTTGCCATGTAGGATCTTGGGCCCAGTGGCATCAGATCTAAAGAGCTTTCCAAATAACACGGAAATCTGCAACATAAAATCTTCTAATTCTTGAACACTGGCGAATATAAATTTATTTCAAAATACATTGTGGGCCAAAGAAAACACATCTATAGATTGCGCCCCAATCCATTTGCTTTGTTTTGCACACAAGGAGGCTCCAGACTCTAAGACTCAGGGTTTTAAATCACAGCGGAATTTTTGCAACTACAGAGCATGAATATTAAAAACGCTTTTCTACAGACCCAAAGCAGAGCAAACCTTCTCACGATTGCACTTCTATAATTCATTTCCTAAACCTATGGCAGACGTTTCTACTCATCAAATTAGGCTAAAATTCTAAGTCAACCTCTAATTTCCAGTGGCCTTAATCACCCATTTGGTCAGCAAATAATTTTTGAGCAGCTACTATGCATCAAGTACTATGCAAAGAGCTGGGGATACAACCATAAATAAGGCTGTATAAAGCATCTGATCGTGTGTGTGTGTGTGTGTGTGTGTGTGTGTGTGTGTGTGTGTGTGTGTTGGAAGGCAGCGGGACAGTAAGAGACAGTTAATAAAATGAAAATCGTATCAAGACGTATCAAGGCGATGTATCTAAGAGCTCTGAGTTGGGGCTTCTTTGGAGTAGGGGTCAGGGAGGCAGACACCTCAGCTGAGACGGAAGGAAGACTCGAAGGTTTGCTGAGCTGAGTGCAATGGTCTGGGCCGAGGCAACAGCCTGCACAGAGGCCCTAAGCAATGATAACTTTGGAAAGTTCAGGAACCGGGAAGGCTAACAAAGTGGAGAGCAGCTGTTCCAGAAGAGGCTGGCTGCGTGGGATGGGCCAGCTGTGCAGGGAGGGCTTGTCGGCCACGGTTGGAGCCTGGAATGTGTTCTAGGCCTGCTGGGCGGCCACAGGAGGAGAGCAGGTGGCCTTGGAGAACAGGATGAGAGCAAAGGGGCCAGTGGTCATGTTCTAGTGGGAGGTTTCCTGACCTCCTGCGGCCACCTCCTTCCCCCTAGCCTTTTCCCGCCACCGTGGCCCGGCTGCAGAAGGAACTCGGAAGGCGATTGCCTTCCTGTGGCTGTTCAGCCACATCCCCACGGGGTTTTGCTCAAACTCTGATTTCTCCAACACCCCAGAGCAACCAGAGGTAGGACTTCTCTAGGAAGCTGACATTGAGCAATTAGACAAGGTTCTCTGGGGAGAATCCGGAACTTTCTGTAACTCTGCCCCTTGCCGTAGACCTCAGGCAGCTCCCTCTCTTTTACTGTCCCCAAGAACTATTAGACATGCTTCTCCTCCTACAAAAAGAAGAGACTGCAAAACGTTGCTGGACCAGCACACATAACATGTATGGCTCACGTTCATGCCCATCTGGCTCGTCTGTCATCTCACATCAGTAAATCCGGGATTGGAGAGGTTCGGCAGGGTGCCCTGCACTCAGCTAGGAGGTGATGAATCACCGAATGCAAAAGCAGGTCACCTTGCAAAGCCCATGCTCTTCCTACAGCCACCTCCCTGATGCTCCCCAGAGGACACATTACTAGAAGTGGAGTTGCTGGGTCAGAGGTTTTTTGCACACTATGAAGGCTTTGATGATATTGCCAAATTACCACCCCCAGAGTCTGTACCGTGAAGATCTATACTTTGTGGGTTCTATATGTGTACAATTT